CAGAACCTCAGGAAGAGACCCCTAATTCATGGAAGCCGTTACCCTACGAACCACTGTAAACGCAGGGTTTCCATTTCACTCTCCATGACAATTGCTGCTTGATTCTCCATTTACCGGTAACAAAGAACCCCTGACGTGCGGAAATCCCTGTAAACATGCTGGACTCCGGGACAACAAGTTGAAAACCAAACGGACAGCAGATTGCATAAGTAGGGTTTAGGGTTTAAAGCTTATTTAGCGACAAAAGCTGGAAGAACCCACCAGGCGGGAACCCAGAAACAGCGTGGCGCGAGTGCTGAGCAAGGAGCTCATCAAAAGACTATCTGCTGATAGGAAACTACCTGTCAGCAGGAGAAGTACCTTCAGACATGTTGGAAAAGATGCCAGAACCACCGGCTGCCTGGTTTAAGAGGTGGGATCGAAGCAACCCATGAAAAATGAACGCGTCCCAGACAGTGCTATGCTTGGCAACCTAATGCAGGAACTCCAAACCCTAAACCCTAAACCCAAAGCCCTAAACCCTTAACCCTAACCCCTAAACCCTTAACCCTGAACCCAAAGCAGGGTGGGATAGGTTACTACCGTAACGGCATAAAGGCGACCCGCTAACGCCACCCGATATACCCGAGGCATCTGCAACCTACAGGCTAACTAATACTCAGGGAATTAGGGTTTAGGGTTTAGGGTTTAAGCTCCCAGAAGATGGATATACATATATATATATATACGTATGCACACACACACATATATATATATGTATGTATTACACTATAAAAGTGGCTTGGGTCAAATTCCTTGACAGCAAGCCAGTGCATCCAGGCGCGGAGTGATAAGGGAGCTTCTGGAAAATAACCCCTATATGAGCTATAGTCTAAACTCCTGGTATCCCCCTTAATAGGGGCTTAGGGATTATAGGGTTTAGGGTGTAAGGACTATAGGGTTTAGGGTTTAGGGTCTAAACTCCTAGTATCCCCCTTAATAAAGACTTAGGGTTTAGGGATTATAGGGTTTAGGGTTTAAGATGGTTTAAGGATTATAGGGTTTAGGGTTTAGGGTCTAAACTCCTAGGGGGCACCTATAGTAGTCCCCTATGTAATACCTCATATAACCCCCCTTAAAGAGTTTCACTATGGCTCAGAATATCCAGGGACCCCAGGAGTCATTCAACTCTCTCATTTAGGGAAACTCGCTCCTGTGAGTTTATCGAAAATAATCTGCCTCCTCAGGCTCTCCCGAGCACCAAAAAAAGAAAGGTAAAAAGGCACCCATAAGATCGAGAAGCTCTTAAAACCCTATGCACCTCTAGCTCCACTTAGGTAGCATAACCAGAAAACCGTAGGCAACTCGGGTTGTAGGTAGCATTCTTCAACCTTCCATGTTCGGTCCTTCAGCCATGAACCAAGTACCCACTCGCAGATACTCATTGGATACTGCTTCCACGCAGTAACAGCCTATACTAGGGGTCATAGTGAGGGGCTATATATTTCTAGCTATAATACAAACAGTATCCAGCTGTCACCCAGCGGGGGGGCAGTATCCAAGACATGCATGCGCATGCACCCCTCAAGCCGTCACAAACAGCAAGAAACCCGAGACATGCAGCCAGGCCTCCACTGTAAAGACTCCGGCTCAGAAACAATGGGATAACGCGGTTTAGGGGCTAGGGTTTAAGGTTTAGGGTTTATGTATACATCTGAATATTCCCCCTATTACTGACTGGTATGGGTGGGGACACCCTAAACCCTAAACCCTAAACCCTAAACCCTAAACCGACTGGTATGGGTGGGGACAGTACCCAAGATTTGGGGCTTGAGAACCCGCCTGCGTCTTCCAGGCCAGCCTCAGCCGACCTTGTGGTTGGGGAGGAATTTTGGTAGTTTCCCAAAATAGGGGGACCCCAATGTAGACCCCAATATACCATAATCCTTATTATAGGGACCCCCAAAATCGTACCCATAATTTTAGGAAACCCACATTTGGGTGTGTCGCGTAGAGGTTACACAGGGGTTAGGATTGAGGTGTTTCAGGCTTTGGGGTTTAGCTAGTATTGGGGTGTAGAGTAGAGGGTTTAGGAGCGTATATGGCTCAGGGCATGTCGGGGGGTGAAGTTTCGTGGCTCGGGGCTTAGAGATGGCGTATGGACCCCAAAAGTATGTAAAATAATAGTCCTAAACCCATAATAACAGCCAGAAAGGCCATCATTTTACATACTTTTGGGGTCCAGGTTCTGGCAATCAACTTTCTGAAAAAAATAACCGGAACGCCGGGTCTGAGCCCACAAGTCTCGACACTTTGGTATCTATATAGTCCTCCTTAAGTGAATAGAACATGGGGTACTATAACATACTAAAAGCCATATTCTATCTACTTAAGACGGACCATCTCTGTATATGGCATAATACACTGCTGAAAACTAACATGGAAACCCAAAAGGGGCCCTATAAAGACTACAGTCCCTCTAAAATGGGGCTATATAGGTTTCCATGTTAGTTTGGGGGAGTGTACCAGCTCAGGAGGGATGAGGCTGAGACACTCTGCATACTGCCATGTCGGCGCAGACGAGACATTCCAAGCCAATTCCAACACTAAACCCTAAACCTTAAACCCTAAACCCGAATCCCTAAACCCCAAAACCTTAAACCCCAAAACCTTAAACCCAAATACTCGACTCTCTCTGTCTGGCCATGATCAAGGCTTGAAACCCCCTGTTGCAGCATGCTACACCAGGGTTGCAATAGGATCAAAATGACCCTAGAAACCCAGTTACCTATATTTGGGGTTCCTGTCCTTAAGTCCCTATATAAATTTATACTATCTATAACCCCAGGACCTACTATATGGGTACCTGGGCTTCTAGGGTAACATAAGCCACTATAATTGGATGCAAGCGCGCGTCCTATGTACCTTTACGGGGGACCTAATGAGCAACCTGATGGAACAACCTACCACACTGCCGCGACTGGGCAGGTTTCTTGCCATGTGGACCACTTCTTCGCGTTTGGTCCCTGCCGCGTGCTTTGCCAGATGTTTGCATGTGAAAAGCAGGAGCCATTTGAGGCTTAATTAGTGTGCAGAACGCCCAACCCTTGTCAGACCAAAACGCAGACCTTGGTACTCCTTTTCAAAGTGTGCTCACAACACCCCTTACCGTGAAGCTCTCGAATTCTGGCATCCTCTTCCGAGCCATGTCAGCACAATCCATTCACGAAAAACAGGTCTGAAGGTTATTGCTACTGTACACTCCTCCTATTTCATCTCTAAAGCCTCAGGTACAAAAATGATGAACTACTGGGCTGGGGTCCGCACTCGTTCACCTCGCAAACAGAGCAGGCGAGTAACAGAAGGGGATAGAAGGGGTTACGTGGGGTCTGCATTCATGCTCCTGCAGCCTGTCTATATACGTCTGACAAGTTCTCCAGACTTGGAGGGCCCTCAGAAAATCTAGATATGGTTTTCTGAGGAGATCTAGCTGATAAGCGTTGGGTTGGCGGGTCATGCAATCCAAGAATGACGAGTGACAACACCTTCATGGTTGGTCCTGTAAGGTGCGAACAGTCCCTTGCAGGATGCACATTACCTTCCCCTAACTCAAATGAAAAGTTCAGCTGGTTCATAGCAATATAATTAGAGAACGGAAATTCACAAGAGTCTTTCGGGAAACTTCTATCACACCCTTCTTTGCTAGCAGTAGTGCCCTTGAACCTACCGACCTGCAGAGCTCTTGCGGCCTTCACATTGGGCGCGAAAAGCAAGGTTACAGCTCTAGGTCATCCTTGAACGACAACACTCATACTTACATGGGGGTTTCCCCAAATTAGGGGTACCTTTTTTTGGGGGGTCCCAATAACGAATGTAATATGGTTTGGGGTCTATATTGGGGTCCCCCTATTTAGGGAAACTACCATATTGGCTTCCCAAGCAGGATGTTTGCCGACCTCTTTGGCAACGCTGGAGACATCTAGAAACCCCGCTGGCTCGAGATCCTTCACATCCCCGATGTACCCCCAAATGCCCTATGGCAAATAGCAACATTTTTCTTCTACGGGCGCAGATGTCGAAAATTCGGCTGGGAAGGCGTCGCTTTGCGCATTCCGCCTAGTCCCAGACTTCGAGAGCTCAAAAGCCGTAGTAATTCGTAGGCAGGCTCAGCAAAGGCACAGTGTTTAGGGGTTGGGGTGGATGCTTCCCATGTGGGGAGCTTATAGCTCTGGGTGCAGGGTCTACTGGTGTTCGAGACTGAAGGGTTTGAGGCTTTGAGGTTTGCGGGGTGGTGCTTAGGCTGCTGAAGTCGACCCAAGGCTTTTGAGGTCTCCAACATCCCAAGGCTTCCAGTATTGCAGTTGCTCAAAACTGGAAGGCTTATCTCGAGAGGCTGTTGGGTTCATCAGTCTGAGTTGGAACTGAGCGCGGCTTACAAGAAGAAATCGATGGCAATGTGACGCCAGTAGCATTAACGACTACAACATCTTCACGGTATCCTGGAAAATAGAATCTGACCCGTAAAGCCCCGTAGGACGAATCCTATGAATCAGGAATCTGTCTGAAGCCCATTGGCTGGCAACTGTCTCGACCAATGCAGACCCACCATGACCAGCACATGGGGTTTTCCAAAACTGTGTCTCGCTTGTAGATTGGAAATGAATGTGTATACACAGATACTAAATCAGCTCAATAGTCCCAATAGTCTCGTGACTCCGAAAGAAAAACTGGGTTCCTTAAAGGGTGTGCGGGAACATTCTGCAAGAAAACAGGATCTTAAGGCCTTCTAGATGATAGTTATATACTGATGATAAGGAAACAACACCGGCTTTTCTTGAGGCTTCTACCTTGTGCCCAAAGAAATCACTAGGAGAATATATATATATATCAACAAACGATCGCGGTATCTTCAATAGTAACTATGGGGGGATATAAGCTATATCCCAGTAGCTATAACTTGAGCATTTCCTATCTAGCCGAAGAACAACCTCCATGAAGGGCCACTCAACGACGGGGGCTGCTCAGTTCGCTTTAGTCTTCTTCACTGCCTGGATGACCTGTGCCAACTGAAAGCAATGCTTATTGGGGTGCTGCTGAGCAACTTAAACTGAGGTGTACGGGTCAGCCTGGTGTACGGCTACGTCACCATAATGGAAAATCAGCTTTGATTACCAGACATAGAAAACGTACTAGCTACGCCATGTGCAGATTTACCTAGCAAAAGTTCCTGAACTCCAATACCTTCTTCGGGCTTAGTAGGGAATAAGGGAATACGTTATACAGGGGGTATATAGAAATTATATTCCGTATTTCCTACTGACTCCTACTAGTAAGATACAGGAATCGGTCTTTCGAAGGTTCCGCGGCTGTGGGCTTCAGACTTGGAAAGGCTTACATCGAAGAACAGGTTCAGGTCTATGGAAAGCCCAGATATAAGTTTTATAAGGTTAGGAGTTTAGTTTACGGTCTAGGGTTTAGCTTAGGGTTTAAGATTCAAGGCTTTAGGGTTTAGAGCTTAGGGTTTCTTAGCGCTAAATCCTTGACACTAAACCCTATATCCCAACCCCGCGAACCAAAGTCACCCTAAACCCTAAAACCCTAAACCCTAAACCCTAAACCCTAAAACCCTAAACCCCTAAACCCCTAAAACCCTAAACCCCCAAAGCCGAGCGGAGGAAAGCCTCCTGAGAGGCTCCGAAGAACTTCAGCAGGTGGGGTGCCGTCAGGGCCATCTGTGCCATGATGCTGTACCTAAGATATTCAATGGTAGGGTTTAGGGTTGGGGTTGAGGGTTAGGATTTTGCGGATTTAAGGTTTTGCGGGTTTAGGGCTAAGGGCTTAAGGTGTAGGTGCACAAGGGTAGGATTAAGGGTTTATAGTCTTGCCACGCGCATCGCACTGCAAGCGCGCGACCAGCTGAGAGTCAGGGTTTAGGGTTCCGGGCTTAAGGTGTTGGGTGTAGGGTTTCGGGCTTTAGGTGGCCTGGGGCTTAGGGTTAAAAAGTTGGGTTTAAGGCTTAGGGTGAAGGGTGAGTTTCAAGCTAAGGGGTGTTGAGACTAATTACCTGCGATTGGCTCTGTAATGCTGAGCCTGCTGCAGCGTTCTGAATCACAGGCCCTGCCGCACGCCATAAAGGATCTTCGACAAAAGGAAGCATACCAGCAGAGCTGTTCTTGGAATTTGGGGGCCTTCCTTGTCGAACCCTCATATGAGGCATAGTCTAAACTCCTAGTATCCCCCTTAATAACACTTACAGTAGTCCCCTATATAATCCCCTATATAACCCCCCTGTAAGGAGTTTAGACTATAGCTCATATTACGAGAGGGTTAGGGAACCTACTTACAAATTATGAGCCTTTGGGCTTATTGAAGGGATAGCAGCGAATATGTACCTAGGTCTCCCTCAATGCTGTCTGGGTTTAGGGCTTAGGGTTCAGGATTTTGGGTTTAGGATTTATGATTAAGGGTTACGGGTTGTTACGGATTTAGGGTTTAGGGCTTGAGGCTCAGGCATCTTTGAGATATCTGCCTGAACCACCCCCCCAGATGCGCAAGCAGAGTGGCTTCACGATGCGGCCGATAAGGATGGCTGTGAGCAGAACGAAGTCACTCATCTTTGACCTGGGTTCTTCTTGAAATACCATTAAAAGGAGATCTTGTCTTATTGATATTGGGCCCAGGTATCCATAGAAATGTAAAATTTCGTTCTACAAGAGCCCAGTGACCTCCAGGAGAGGCTGGGTGTACCTAAAGGTCATCATATGTGTCCCCTTTCCCCCTTTCCCCCCTTACCATACATACACCTAGCCCCTCTTGGCTCTGCAGCTTGCGTCTTTCCGTAGGGGTCGTCTATGAAGACTGATGATGAGGGAAGTTTGGGACCCCTAACCCTCAAGCTTAGGACACTGCTGTAAAGGTCCTTTTTTACAAAACACAAAATTGCCAAACTCATGCCCTAAACCCTAAATAGCAGTTTCCATTTTCTTTTCCGTTATCCCTATGTAATCCCTGTATAACCCCTATAGAATCCCTCTATAATCCCCTATATAATGTTATATGTCATGGCAAGTGGCTATTCGGATCCGGGGGAAAATTCGAGCCCGACTAGCAAGGGCTGGATATGGGGTTTAGGTTTAGGCCTGAAGAAGGGTTTAGGGTTTAGGATGGTTTAGGGGCTCAAAACAAGGTTGATAACAAGGTCTCGGGGAGGTTGCCCGGAGGAGGTTTTGGCAGAAGGTACCAAAATTTATGAAGACATAGTGAATAATGTGAGCAGTCTTCGTAATGCTAACTTAGCAACTTGAACTCCATAACTGAAACTGTGTCGGGAGCTTGCTCAGGCAGCGACAGATCTGATTCAACATTTGGGGGCCCATGACCCTGATTTTGACTGTAGATGCAAATTCAAGGCGCATAGAAATCCCAAAGCGCGACAGACCGGCGTTTCTGCACGACATTGAAGGAAAAAGTGGCTTTCCCTGATAAACACTAGTGTGGTCTTCTAGTGTGGCCCTCATCCCCTTCAAGCACTTGTAGTCCCCCCTAAGTAGATAGAATATGGGTATATGGGGATCTTATTACAATATACCCAAAGTCATATCCTATCTACTTAAGGGGAACTCTAACTCTTTGGCAATACGTCAGCGCTTAGAGAATCCGTTTTCGCTGCCCCTGGCTTCATAAAAAACTCCCAGGCGTCGGATAAGGATTTAGTGTATGTTCCCAACATACCTACACTCCCCCAAAGTAACATGGAAACCCACATATTCCACTTTTAGAAGGGCTGTAGTCTTTATAGGTCCCTTTTTTGGGTTTCCATGTTAGTTTCCGCGAGTGTATAATCCCTGAGCCATAAACCCAAAAGATGCTCCGTATGCAAGTCTCAGAGGCCTAGGCAATTCTTCTCTAACCCCGTAGGCCCCCTCTGCCTCCAACAGAAATCTTGAAGCCTCTCATTAATCCCGCGCCCCTAATATTAACACACCCCCCCACCCCCTTTAAATACAATACAATACTCCTAATATATGAGAATATACCACACAATCGGAATATTTCATATTAGGGGGGGTGAGGGGGGCGGGTTAATATTAGAGGGAGGGGATTAAATTGCAAGCACGGCTTGGTGAGGAAACCCAATGCAAATCCCTCAATCCCTCACCCAACCTTTGACTGGGTTGCTTCTAAGGAACTTAAATCAAGTTACTGTAGTAAGGAAACCCTATTTGTCTACTACGTACCCATACTCTGGTAACTTGTTTAAAGTTCACTTAACAGCGACCCAGTTGAACCCAATCCACTACATCGGAGTCCCAACATGGAGCGGCCTCAATGCTTAGAGTGGGATGGTGCGCTAATAATTGTCTAGGGGATAAGGGGAGTAACAGTCCAACAGCTCGCTGGTCTTTGCTTTGCCCCAAACTCTAAACCCTATAAACTCTAAACTCCGACCCCTAAACCCTAAACCCTACATAGTACAAAGTATGGCTTCTGTAGGAACTTCACCTCTAGCTTTTGGTTTAAATAAGTTTCTCGACTCATCTAGCCCATAGTCTAAACTCCTAGTACCCCTCTTAATAACCCCTATAGTCGTCCCCTATATAAATTCCCCATATCACCCCCTTTTGACCCTTTGAGGAGTTTAGGCTTCAGCTCATACGCCGAGGTGCAGCTTCGCGAAGAAGATCAGGGGATGCAAGATGATGGGCATGGCTGAGATGGGTATGGCGGCAACAGGGCCGTAGGCCTGGAGGTCCCAAGTGGGCAATCTGACAACTTTTGCCGAGACGGTAAACTACCTCACAGGATGTGCATACCATGAACTAGTTCTGTGGATATGACTGGTAGGATGCTTATAATGTGAAGTAATTCAATGAATATGAATCATAGGACGCGTGTACTATGGTGCTCTACAATCAGATGCCAAGGCCTTCTCTACTCCCGCACCTTCCAAGCATTCATGACATCGGCCCTGGACCCACCGAGAGCCTCTGCGACTTTGTATGGGGCCTGGAAGCGAATTTCGGTATAGCTTGCAGAGACTCTGTAAGTCGGCTCCAGTAGATTTCGATACGCCGGCGTTCAGTAGACCACAGCAGCAATTCTTGGTGCAGAGACGTGTTCAACCACCAATGATGTTACGCAACTCTGCAAAGAAGGACTTTGTTCAGCTCTTCTACGATACTGAAGCCGCTAGGATCTCTTCTTCAAGGTCCCATCCCCCAATACAAAAACCCTATCTGAACCCACAAAGTATGTAGAACAACGGCCTGTTTGGCTGTATATATCTATTGGGTACTGCGCCCACCCAGTAACAGTCCATATTAGGGGTCCTATTGAGGGCTATATATAGCCATATTATACTTATCATCCAACTGTTACTGAGTAGGGGCAGTAACCAATATATCTACATGTACAAGTGTTGGGCCATTATTTTGTACTTTCGGGACACGGGAAAACTCCACAACCCTGTGCCCAAACCAAAACCCTACACCCTGAACCCCACAACCCTAAAATCCTAGACTCCAAGCCCTGCTTGCATCAGTAATGAGGCCGAACCCTAAACCCTTAAACCCCTAAACCCTAAATCCCTAAATCTCACTACCTACCGGCCATGAAATCTCTGCCCTCGATCTGAAGATTGTAACCAGCCGAGGGTGCCTGCATCATGCCTTCTGACCATGACCACCACTTACCTTACTCAAAGGGTAAGGTTTGGGGTTTAAGCTTTAGGGTTTAGGGCTTTAGGGTTTAGGGATTTGGGCTTTAGGGCTTAGGGTTTAGGATAGAAGGGGAGACTGCTGGGATATACGGCAGAATCATGGAGAGCCAAATCGAAAAGAAGATGGCAACTAGGGTTCTATGGGGGTTTAAGTTCAGTACTCCCCCCCCCTCAGTAACAGTTGGATAATAAGAATAACATAGGGTTATATCTAGCCCTTAATGAGACCTCTAATATAGACTGTTACTGGGTAGGGGCAGTACCCAAGGTTTAAGCTTCACTTTCTTTGCCCAAACGGTTTGAAGTCGGGGTCTGAGGTTTTGGGCTGGAACGTACCTAAACATTCCGGGCTTGGGGCAGAGGGCGCCTAAGCTTAGGTTTTAGGGCTTAGGCGCGGTGTAGGGTTCAGAGTTTAGGATTTGAGGTTCAGGATTTAGGGTTCGGGGCTTAGGGTTTAGGGAAATGGTGTAGGTTTTAGGGTGCCCAGCAGTCGCAAATTAGCTACATACGGTTGACGCTAACAACTCCGCATGTCCCTGGGTACCACAAACCTTGGGAACTATGATGCTAATGTGCACTATAAGGTTTTCAGTATCAACAGTAGTACATACACGAAACCCTAAGCTATAAATCCGAAGCCCATTGTTTGTTGGGTTAAGGTTTAGGGCTATGGTTGGGGTAGGTCTTCCTTGTATAGACACTTAGCACTGATGCAAGCAGATGAGTTTATCATGCGGATAACCTCCAAACAATTCCCGGTTTATTGGGTAAACAACAACCTCAGCGGTACTTGGGCCCGGAAAATCGTCTTCGAATACGGTTTTCTGATACAACGTAAAAAAGGGGAATGCAAATTAAGCCTTTCCAATATCAAATACACCACCCCCCCCCTGATAGTAAGTATACCCAGGCCGCCAACATTTAGGCTCTCTTCGTGTTAGGAAGTGGTATCCGGAAAGTAGACGCCTTCGTTTCAAGTTTGGAATTTCATATTGTCGCGTTCTGGCTTGGTATTGCTTGCGAGGGTGCCACGCATTTGCAGCCATCTCTAGATTTCGGGTTCAGTGGCGTCTTAGGGTGGAGCCTTTATAAATAAATATATATATATATATATTTCTCCATTTTTACCCCGTGAGAAAACGAAGAAAAAGTCATCCTGGTTTCCTGTGCCACAGCCGAATGTCTTGACTGAGAACACCTTGCACCATACGCTATACATTGGGTCCTGCCCGCACGCATTGACAGTCTACAATAGGGGTGACATTAAGAAGGCTGTATACAACTATGGTATAAATACTATCCAACTTTTAAAGGGCCGGGAAAGTACCCAACCTAGACATGTCACCATGCATCGTATCAGAGAAGCCCCCAATGCAGACTTTGCATCTAGTCCTCTCCAAAAATTTGGGAACCCCAGCCCGCCCAAACGAAACATCCAAAACATTCGGGCTTAGGGTTCAGGACCATCCACAACATCGATTTGTTGGCTTTGCCGAATGGTCTGAAGACCCCAAAATAGGTACCCCATGCTGAGTTTAGGTCGCAAAGCCTAGCCCTAAACCCTAGATCCTAAACCCTAAACGCTACATCCTAAGCCCTAAAACCTAAACCCTAAATCCTGAGCCCTAGATCCTAAACCCTCAACCCCTGCTCAGCATCTCTTTTTCTGGCCCTTGCGGCACAGCGGTAAGCTATCTTCAGGGAATCACCCTGAGGTCCCTTGCCACTCCCCCTATACTGCCCCAAGGTTCCTGTTTAGGGTTCAGGGTTTAGGGCTTAGCGCTTAGGGCTCAGGGCTTAGGGCTTAAGCTTCAATTCGCCTAAGAATCCTTTTCAGAACCTCAATTTGGAGGGAACCCAACAGGGGAGGCAGTGTGAGTAGAGAAATGGTAAAGGAAGCCATGGTGTCAGGGAGCTACCTCGCATTTTGCAGGGTTTAAGGTTTAGGGTTTCAAGAGACCCCGCTGATGCATAATTTCAGAACCTGAAAATAAGCAGTATTGGCATTGTTCTGCATTGGAACCATCATTCAAATACAATAGTTTCAGAACCTGAAAGTAAGCAAAATGGGGATAGCTTTCTATATGGACCACCATGTTAGGTGAGGTCGGGACCCGAGGTCGTCGTGATGTGCACAACGTACATTTGGGTTGTTCTCGAAGTTATGAGCCACTTTTGAGGATTATTTCCAGGGAACCAAGACAGGACCCTGGTTTGGCTTTAGGAATCAGGGTTTAGGGTTAAAGACCTAGGGTTTAGGGTTTAAGGGATTACAAGGTATTAGCTAAGCTTACTCCCCCATAGTTGGTGAATGGAGTTATAACAGCCCCTGAATAACGCCCCTTTAGGGATAGCTACTGTAAGGAGGACTGACCCTAGGTATGGCTATATGAGCCCTGGACTAAAGTTGTAGTAGATCCCTTCAAGGTCCCCCTAACCCCGTATACCCCCCTTGATAGGTCCCTCCAACCTAACTTAAGTCCGTAGGCCATATACCCCAGTTTGAACAAACCGGTTTATGAACCCAGTGACAGTAGCTTTTTGTGCTCGGTGGAGCGCCCTAAACGCCAAGGATAACAAACATACCATAGGGTTTAGGGTTTGGGGTCCTGCGTATGATACAGCCGAAATACTGCGCCTTGCAAAGACTCCACACAGAAAACCTCTTTCGCAAAACAGTGCTGCTTGTGAAGCTTTGGGCGCCCCGTAACTTATAAGTACAACCCGTAAAGATGTAGGTAGGTTGCAGGTAGGGCCTTGCAAAGTTTGCCTGGATTCATGGCAACGCTGCAAGCTGCAAGTGTGGAGCTCCCATTTCCCTGACCACCTAAGGCACTGAGTCCTGGGTGAGAATCCGGAGCGCTTCGAGGCTTCCACCCCAACGTACCATTGCGTCCCGAGCTTCAATCTTTGCCAAGTATACTTAAAATGGAAGGTGCGCCCCAAGGGTTTAGGCTTCAGGCGTTCAAGGCTTAGGGGAATACATCCTGAACCCTCAAGCTCAAGCTGGGGCTCAAACGATACCTAGGCTGCCCTCCAATGCGCAGGTCTGCGCTCTTCACCATCAGGGTGAGGCTTGTCGGACTTGCATGCATGGTACAACGGTTGAGGGATGAAGGCCTCCATGATCTCAGGTACACTGTGTTATCAGAATTCGCCAGGCTTGAGGTATGTGGGGATATGCAGGGTTGTGTCCATCCACAGTATGGAAGTATGAATATGATATTATTTGCCCCTACACCCTGGACCTTAAACCCTAAACAAGCTTCAGAGATTCCAAGCTTCATGGTCCATATGGTTTCGAGGCTGCTGCATAGGCATCGGAAGAAAACAGAGCTGCAATTACAGAGCATCAGCAAAGAGCAGCACTACTGCGGTTACTACATCCCACATACTTTTCAAAATGAAGCCCTGAAGCTCTAAGGCCCCAAACTCCAAAACTCGAAGCCCCTATGCTTTAAACCCAAACTAACCCTGACCCTAAACCGTAAACCCTAAACTCCATCCCCAGAACCCTCCTCTACCCTACCCTCTACAAGTTTCATGCATGCGCTTCAGAGCACCACATCGAAGATGTAGCTCGCCAGGCCAAAACGCAAAGAGAAGCACAGGAGTGTACTCGCTAACCTTAGGTCTTGCAGGGTTTAGGGTTTATAGGGTTTATAGGGTTTAGGGGATTTAGGGTTTGGGGTTCAGGGTTTATTATAGGGTGAAGCGGATATTTATGAGTCATCGAGGGATATGTAGGGGTTTTGTGGAGATATGCAGGGGTCATACTTGGAATGTTCGGGGTGTAGGGCTTTCTTCAAGGTTTTCGGGTTTAGGGTTTGATTTAAGGTTTTGGTTCTAATTAAGGTGGTTAAAAGGGAGTGAACGAAGAACATGGAAACTAATTACTCTATCATTCTAAACAGGGAATCCCAAAATCAACCCTAACGTACTATACTCCTTATTATAGAGGCTCCCCAAGGCACCCCGCTTCTTGGAAACTCCCATGTAAGGTTTGATACATGGATGGTTATAGGAAGTAACTTGCCAACCTCGGTCCCCTGAATCCTGAAGGTTTCATACGCGGTTATGCTCGGGTCCCTTAAAGGGGTTTTACTTGGACAGTGGTACATACAGTGGATGGAGGAAATCTTGCACCACCCTTTGTGCCTTACACCCCAGGAATTACAGTCTGTTTGGTATCCAACCTCCCCCATCCACCCCGAAACCCTAAATCGAGTAGAGCCACAGGGACGCATAGGGGTACCTCAGACCTCAGCTCCTATGAGCGATATGCAGAGGCTTAGGGTTAGAGTTCTCAGAGGCCACGCTTCCAAGAAAAACCTCTCATCCGCCAGGACCATCACCACCCTCCCAAACCTTTCGCCCAATTATGACGGATCCAGATCACCCACAGGTGCTGTTGGTTTTTGAGCGTATCATATCTGGAAAAATTCCGAGCCCTCAACCCTAAATGCCTCAAAACAAGCCCCGAACCCTCGATCCTAAGGACCATGGATGTTCAAGCATGTGCCGGGGTCTGTCCAATCTCTATGTAACAAGGAAAATGATCCAGCCATCCTTGACTGATCAAGACCATGCCGCACCTTCCACGATCGCCGATTTTTCAATTTCCCCCTTTAGGGTTTAGGGTCCTGCTATCACTCAAGTCACTGGAACTCGTACCCAAGCTCCAAAAGTGAACAGCAGCTAAGCAACTGAAGTGACAAAAGGCGGCGACACAAAACATCTTCTCGACACGGCCCGAGAACCTCGGCAGAAAGAGTTCAGCTAGACTGAAACAGGTGTGTTTACTGAGCATTGGTGCAAACATGGGTAATAATGACCTGGTAGTGTTGATACGCAAACCAAAGCTCCCATATTTACAACAATGGTTGCGCGCAAGGATTTCAACACAGGCATTTTGACGCGCACCTATGTGGAAGCTTCTCAACATCACCCCCCATAGATTCTTTATCGGGTCCC